ACAACAAAAACATTTTTTTTCTTTACTTTTTCCCTTCTTTCGTTTTTATCAAAAACGTATGTATGTACTCGTATGTACCTGCGTTACAACCAATTTTGGCATATTCTTTAACAATACAAATCGTGCTACTAGGTAACAACAACAACTAACGAAATAAAAAACAAAAATGTCGACAAAAAAGAATGGTAATGCCATAACAACGGAATTCCAATTCCCTCAGCCGAAGGAGAAGCAGACCTGCATGGAAATTATCTACAATGGCAAAGAAGGCACCTACTTTGGACGTACACCCAAAAGTTGGGGTAAGTGTTTGAGTAAATAGAAATTATGGCAAGAATGAATATACTTACATATAGATGCAGTAGTATTAATATAAATAATTTTTTTCGAAAAGTAAACAAATTTAAGTTCTGTAGAATAACAGCAACAATAAATGATGGTGGAAAGGCACTAAAGTTATAAAAAAATACTACAGCAAAGAGGTTGTATGTATATATAGTACATATGTACCTGTATCTATGTAGTATATAGTAAATAACGAAACTCCATKTTCATATATTCTAACAACATAACAACAACAAAAGGAACCACCTTTTAAACTAATTAATTATACAATGTTTTGAAATATGAAAAAAGATAGACTGCTCAAATAATCATAAAACTTTTATTATCTAGATTATGTGTAAATAAATGGCAGAACAGCAAATAAGTGGCCTAATCGTGTAGATGCGTATTGTCATTTGCTAATGTCAAATAAAGCGAAAGAGTTTATGAATATGAGGTATTAATATTAGTTTGTGCTTTGAAAATAAATTTTCACAAAATGCWAAGAAAATATAAACAAACGTAGATGGTTATAGACGTACATATGTATATGTACATCTATAGTACATACGTGTATATACAAATGTAAGCATACACATGTGCTTAGAAATGTACATACATTTTTGTAATACTAGTCATATGTGTACAACAAATTCATTATCGTCGCTTTTGTAAAAATTGTAGAAGCAGATAAGAAAACACTGTAGATTTCAACACTCAGGCACATGTGCACCTTTATGTATATGGTGACCTAGTAGGAAAATAGGCAGCTATTATTTATAAATTTGAAATCCCAAAATTCCATAGGTACACATTCGTTTCGTGACCTAGTAGGAAAATAAATGGTAATTTAAATATATCTGGTAGATCCCGAAAATCCATATGTACACATTTACTTAGTTACCCAGTAGGAAAAAAAAGTTGATGAATGTTTAAATTTCATATACATATGTGCATAYGCATTGTATGCCTTTGGGGGCTAGGTGGTAAATAAAACAACAACTAAATAGAAGTAGTCAATCTCGAAAAATTTTGGGGATTTGGCAATAAAATATACATACATTTGTCAATTCCGAACAAGTTGTTCAATCCCGAAGTAGTTTGTTTAATCCCCAAATTTCATGTGCAAACCTTTGTATGATCAGCTAATAGCAAAATAAACGGCAATTAAATATAGGTAATCAATCCCGAAATCAGTAGTTGACCAATAAAAAAAATCATCATAAAGTTTTATAAATTTTTGTTCCCGAAAAATTTGAAAAATCCATAAATAAGTCCCGAAATTGTTTATGTACACAATCATTTGATGACCTTTTAAAAAAATTAGTAGCATTAAGTTTTTCTTAATCACGAAAAATTTGGTGAACCCCGAAATTGTGGGATTATTATTTTTTGTTAATGCCGTGAATAACACTTGACAACCTGTAACCAAACCTATTTTGGTATTTTGTATACTATACTCTGGTAATTGGGGTCTCAAAAACACAGAAAAATTTTTAAGAAACAAGAAATAAATATCGAAAATTAACATAATTTTCCGATTTCATATTATATTTTCCTAGCTCTATAGCTTCTTGGTTCATTAACAAACTTATAAATACCAAAATTCAGGACATAAATATTCACATTTTTACCGTTGGCATAATTAAATTTTTCTTTCTTAGAAACAACTTTGTCCAAACTTCCATACCCAATATAATCTAATAAAAGAAAAGTTACTAGAAACAGTAAATATTAAAGTTTGCGAAACTACATATTTAAGCATCTTTTCTACAGGGCCAGAAAGAGTTCAGAATCTCGCTTTCTGCAAAAGTCAACCTTTACCAATTTAGATCCACGTTTTCTGGCAAAGCGAAACTCTACGATTTCTTTTGCATGCACGAGTTCGATGAACGCAACTTYCGAGTACTTTGCCCGCTAAATAAAGATGACATACAACTTGAATAATAATAGAATAGCACAGTCAGTATTGGCTTCYAAAGCTTGAAGAAAGTCTAGTTTATTGCTTAAGATCAGTGACTTCAACTAACCGTACAAGAAGTAGTCTAATGGTGTTAATTAACAACTTCTTGGAGGTCATTCAGTGTCAAAATTTTTTGAAATAATCGAATCCCCAAACTTTTCTCGCAATAATTCAATTGTTGCACCTTGCTGTGTGGCACCTATCGCCGTCTTGTTGGAATCAGATATTGTCARGATCAACTTCTTCTAATTGSGGCCAYAAAATATCATTGCTCTACACCGATCTYYATAGGTATTAATGRTGTTACCAGCTTMATTTTGATAGAAGTATRGATCGACGATTCCACCAGACAYACTAAACTGTCAATTTAAGTGARTGTAATGGGTTTCACCAGAAACGAGAGTTTTGTTTATTTACCGTTTAAGGAAGCCTCATCGGATGATGATTATTTWTAAAAAGCGTTACCRTTTTCAAGTTGTTCCAAGAGCATSATCAGCAAATGCGTGACGTTTACGATGATCCAATGGCTTCASTTCTTCAGCRAGAACAATTTTAGCGGCTGAAAGCCCAAATGTCTTCTCAAAATCCGTCAGATTTGGTCTTAGACAGTCCCAATTCTTGAGAACGTCTTAGAATGGACACAAATCTTTGTGTTACCATATTCAGAAAARTTCCTATCCTCAAATTAGTTCAGCTTCCAGTTAGGTCTTTCAAATTTTACAATCTACTATCTTCATATATAAAACTTACATACATRCTATATACGATTAGCATGCGGGCTGCAGCTGCCGCATGTGAAATAAACTAATAGATTTACAAGTGTACTAATTAATTCAACAAATAAAAATACAACAACWATTTTATAATTAACGAACTTGGCAACAGTAAAAATATTAAATGTGAAAAAACAATCAAACCGGTTACAACAATAATACAAACAACACAAAGAAAGTACAAAGGGAAATGAAAATGAAAATAAAATTAAAAAAAAATATATATATAGAAAACATAAAACAAAAACAAAAACCAATATATATTATATAAGTAGATGCAACAACAAAAACAAAATCAACAGCAATTCAATTCGACTGAGTCGCTAGTACAACCGCCCCTCAAAACCTTTAGGTTACTGGGCGCAGGGCGGGAAACAATAAAATAATTACGATTGAAGCGAAAAATTATCAAAAGTGCTGATAAGGAAATTTGACGCGCACGAAGCGACAAAAGGGCGAGCACACACCGTTGATAGATGCCACGGAATTGATGGATCGCTGCACCGACATACTACACATACATATAATACAAGCATGTCTATGGGTATGACTGGCTGTCTGAGCACATGATGGCTTGAGGAAATGAGCATGCATACATATCTACATGCACCGCTTTTCGGTCATAGCATTGACGCTCTATTGCAATGAATGTAATCAGCAATCGCSGAGCCACATGTCGAGTGATTACTGTCGATTAACAAAAGCAAAATCAACATAACTGTGAAGTAGTATATAAAAARTACATACACGCGGAAAGCAAGCGCTTTAATTGCACACAAATAATAGCATACATACATATATACATATTCATAAGCGCTTATGCTCAACAACAAAAGCGGGTGTGACGCGCGTTCCGAATAGTCTATGAATCACTGGACACCGGCAAGTTTTCAGCCTGCGTATGGGTTGGTCGCCCTTCGGCTTTATCAGTCGCAAAACGCGTGTATGTATATACTATATAATATATGTWTGTGTTTGTATGTCAAAAGGAAGGAGACGGCATACAAAAGCCGGTGATATGAATGCCTTAAGTCCACTTGACCAGTTATTTATCGGTGCGCGCCGAAAGCAGAAAAAAAATGAAAAAGTAAACGCGTCAAAGCTGTCGGTGCCGGTAAGATGTCGTCAGCGGCGTTTCCAAGTCCATTTGACGCGCCAACACGCAAAGCAGGCAAGTKCTATAATATGGATAACGACTGGCCATGGATACACACAAGTCAAAAGGTGTTGTCATTAGACAAGACAGCTGTAAAATATATATGTATTTGTACATATGTACATATATATCCATGTATACATTATGTATCCCTATCTATATTTGCATATGACCTAGTCAAAGGTTTTTCGGTGGAATTAAAAGTTATCTGCTTGGCTGCTAACTTAGAAACTTCTTATTAATCGATATTTCTAAAGGAACGACTGCGAAAAGGAACTCTATTACTATGCTAAAGCCTATAATCTGAAAATAAGAAATCAGAGGAAAAAGAAGGATTATATGACGCTAGAAAATAGGGGAATTAGAAGTATTCCTAAATATAACGAAGAACCTGTAGAGAACATAAAGCAAAATTTGGAAAACTGTTTAAACTGATAGAGTCTAACCAAATAGCATTAAATAAATCCAGAAAACCTGAAGACGGAATTCTCTGAACATATTTTTATTCACAACAAATACCCACGGTTCAAATTTAAATTTGACAGTTTACAATAATTTCCTGTCGATAATTAAAATTAAATTAATTATTATTAATTTTTAATTATTTTTAATAAATTTAATTAATTATTTTTGGTTTGCATTATTTATTACTTTTCTTTAAATATTGAAATAATATTTTTTTCTTAAAATTAGTTTTAGTTAATCAATTAGCGTTTCAATAATTTTTTAACAATTCATTTAATTTAAAAACAATTTAAGCCCGTTTTAATTAAATTTTTTAAGGATATTTTMCAATTTTTCACTTTGTAAACTTTAATTACAATTTTGTTATTCAAAAAATTTTCATTGTTAATTGGGAACTTTAATTGTAAATTAGTTATTCAAAAAATTCTCATTACTAAATTAACTTAAATTTGTCTGACATGCATAAAGAATGGACAAAAAATA